CCTTTCTCTGCGGGTAAGTACTGTGTCCTCGAGGTCTCCTGCAGGGGTGACTGGAGGCAGAGATCCCCAGTGAAATACGGGGGACACCTGAGTGTGTAGGGTTGAAAGACAAATCGCAGAGGAGCCCTTCTCAAAGGCTGCAGGGAGGGAACTGGTCTCATATTGGAGAAACACCTTCCAACTCCTTACAGGGAGCCTGCTTAGATCTTATTGCATGAGGGCAGGTTAGCCCTGCAGCTTTCAGTGCCCTTTAAGTTTATAAGCAGGCTTTAAATATTGGGAACGTACTTGCCATAAATTGGAGGACTGGCCTCTACTGTGCTTGGTGTGGCATGTAACGCACCTAAGGCTTTGTTGGCCTGGAGAACTGCTGAGCTCCAATTAAAGCATTCGGAGCACTGACCTATTCCCATCTCTGACGTGTACCTTCTCTAGACCCACCTGGCTTGCTTCTTTACAGAAACTTTATCCATTCTTCCCATTTCAGCAGTTTCTCACTGTCTCAGATAGCCTTTCCTTGAGGGTCTGTAGCTGGTGGATTGGAGGCCCCTTTGGGGCCTTTTATCTGACTAGTTTCTATCAGGAATCAAACTGCTCAGTGTGTGAACAAAATAAGAGAAACAAACAGAGGAGCTTGTATGGCTACATACAAAAAAAAATCTGAGGTAGGCTTTTCATTGTGGAGACCTATTGAAAGGGATCCTGCAGTTTCCTCTTTGAGGAAGAGCTGAGGAGGGAAGACAGGAAGTACATCCAAGTGTTAAAAGTGAGCAGTGATGAGTCTTTAATATAGATCATGATGCAGAAAACTGTGCTGATCATTTACCTGGGTGTCCTTGGGTAACATTCTTTTCTGTGCAGGCAAGTAGACTAGAACATAAAGCCAGGGAGAACTTAAAATCCAACAGTCTCTAGACTCGCAGTGACTTGCTTTTTTTGCTCTCTAGGAAGCAAGCCCATAAGACGCAAGACTAGCAACAAAATCATGGCAACATCTGGTGGAACTGGGCGCTCTCCCCTCAGCATCCTACAGGATGATAATTCCCCCGGTGCTCTTGTGCCTCGTCAGGTAAAGCTTAATGAGGAATAGTGTGGGAGGGGAATGAGCGGAAATAAAGAATCCTTCCGTTCCAAACTGGAGCCCTACGGAATATGGGAGCTGGGGTCTACCAGGCCTGTAGAACCTGGTAACTTCATAAGTACTTTTCTGTGAGTCACCCTTATATTTGCCCCTAGATCCCTCAATCTGGTTCAATGCTTGCATCTTCTACCTTTTTGTGTTGTTTCTCTTTTCAGTGCGTCCTTTCTTTTAGGGCTCTGGAAGAAATCCATCACTCTATTAGACATTGTCATAGGAGAGCCAAAGCTAAATGGCCTGAAAATTGGTTACATTTTCTACTGAAAATTAATGGACAAACTCTCAATTAACTTGGGTTTTAAACTTGGTTGCTTTTCTTCTCTAGGGTAAGAGGCATGCACTGGGGGAAACACTTGGGGAGAGGAAGGAAGTGACAGTGGATCTGAACAGGAGCCTCAAATCTGGGAGCTGTACCTGGAGTGACTTGAACAAAGAGAACCAGCAGTGTCCTTTTGTGGAGAACTAGATCTCCTTTCCCTGGAGCTTGCTACAATTCTCTTCTACATTTTGAGTCTCTTAGGTGCGAGGAAATCCTGCCATAGACTGAAACTCCAGACTTACAGTCACTTCTTGCATTTCCCCCTTTCGGGAAGGAGGTACTCTCTCTCTCTCTCTGTCTCTCTCCCTCCCCTAGCATTGTGTGTCTCATGTACAGTGCTGACTTTGGTTCTTCTACTTATGTCAGTTGTATTGACTCACTATATGGTTCTGATCTGTATATATAAAAAAGAAAACAAAACAACAGAAACCCTTTGATTATATGTCCTGTTAGGACAGTAGGAGTACACTCCTTCCCCCATGCACTCTCTCTGGAGACAAAACTTGGAAACAAATAATTTAGTCTTCCATTAGCCCTAACACTCAGCCCTGTCCCTGACATGTAACTCTGCACAGTAGAGTTGTGCTGAGAAGGGTCTGACCTTGAGTCCAGGGGTCTAGACTCCAACTCAGGTACTGTAGAATGGTCTGGGGTGTTACTCTGAAGGAGACTGAAGTATTTAGTATCACTTCCTAAGTTCTGCTGCACCTGCTGTGACCCTAAGACAGGAAACTAGCTGGCTGCAAAGTTCTGTCATGAGGGCAAAATCCAAAATAGGGAGAGGCAATATTGTGCCATGATGGTAATATCTTCACCCTCTGCTCAAGGTCAACAAGATATAGGGGCTTTTCAATGGTCAGTGGTGAAGCCTTGAGATGCCAGGATATGGCTATAAGCCAACTGTTGGAATAATGCCTGAATAATGGCTATGACCTGTAGCTGAGCTTAGGTCTCTGAGGATATGTACTTGGCCTAAGGATATATGCTTAGTTCTCTGCCCAGACTCTTGGGCAGCAAATCTCAGTGGCCTGTTGGAACAAGAGGCAGTGGGATGTTTTCAGCCAAAACAAAGGTGAGGGAGACCCTTCCCGGTGGACTTAGAAGTAGAGCAAGGCTTGTGGTTTCCCTTCTTAGGGCAGATGCTCTAAGCAATGGGTAAGTGTGCAGTCCTCACAGGAGGAGGATTATGTACTGCAGGAAAGAACACAGCCTGCAGAACTTATGTGAGCTTTCTTTATTTGCCTGGACTATGAAGTACTATAGCAGTTAGAGTGGAAAACAGTGGCTGGGGACTACTGATTAGGTAGGGTCACCACACAACACAGGGGTGGGGCAAGAAGAGAAGGAACAGCATGAAGCAAACAACAAAGAAGAATAAATGTAGTGTTCCCTGGTTTTCTGGGGAAGTCTGGAGGCTTACCCCATCTGTGCATAGACAAAACTTGAGCTAAGACTTCCCCTATGGAAAATGAGCCCAATTTACCCTACCTTTTTGGTAGAGGTTGCATGATAAAAATATCGAACCCATCTCTGGGGATGTCTGCAGGTATACAGAAGAGCCATATGGAGGAGCTGTACCTGGGGACAGAGGAGTTGATAAGGGCTTCTCAGAGGGATGGGTGTCAAGCATGGGTAGAGGTGTTTGAACTGTGCTATAAAGGCCTGAGATATGAACAGATGTGTCTGGCTGGGGTCCTGAAGCCTGCAAGAGGCTAGAAACTGCTGGCCTGTTTAAGGGTAGAGAGAACTGTCACTGTGTGTGCTCCTACTTCTCAGCCCAACCCCCAGACTTCTCATCTTTTCTCTCTAGGTGACCCCTACAAGTGTCCTGTGTATAGAGACAAGTGGGAGTGATAAGTAGACATTTCTGTTGTGTTCAGTTGGTGATGCTGTTTGCATGGGCTCAGGCCTTGGGCCGTGCTTCTGCTGCTCTTTTCCTCTTTGCTGTCATCCTCAGTTCCATATCTTGAGGAAGCTGTCCCAGGAGCCTGTGGCAACACCCATGCCATCTGCTGTCACCCCCAGACAGCTCACTCTGTTGTCATGGCCAGAGAGGATTCCTGATGGGAGGGGAAGAGGAGAGGTCAGTAAAAGAGATGGGGCCTAGGAGAGGCAAAGCGATTGGCCAAATGGAGCAGATTCATCATAGGCTTGTGGCCTGTATATATATGCCCCTGTGTTAGGATCAGTAAGTGGTTAATGAGAACAAATATGCAGAAGAACATTTGTGCATGCCATACAACTACTGTCTATGAGATCTGGCCAGAGAACAATGTTCTTAGGAAGGTCCAGCCAGCTGAATCCCCAATACAAGAGAAATTGCTGCAACATACCGCTGATTTCATCCCGGACCAATGCCATTGATAGGACTAGGAAAGCAGAGCGTCCTTGATAAGACTGAGAAATAGCAATGCTGTTGGAGGTCCAAAAGCGGGCAGTAATATAAATTTTCAGAGACCAGGGGCTGTATCTGATCTGAAAGAACAGTACTCGTGTGTATTCCCTGTATGAGCATCACTGAGCATCCAAAAATGTCGAATGGAGCCCAGCTTCATGCTCAGCTCTGTACCTGGCCACCAGCGAGCAACTGAAACTGATAAACTGCAAGGAGTAAGAGACAATGTGAGACTGTATTTGTGCTTGAAAGCAGTTTTAGCTAATAGAAACACTGATGCTCTTTTACTCCTTGAAATAGTCTTGCTTCAAGGCTTGACCTCCTTAACATTAATGACTGGAGCCAATAGTTTTGAGTTTCTACTGAAAAACATGGTGTGCGCCTTAAGTGTGTAGAGGCATTGCTGAGCTTCAGTCAGTACAGCATATGTCCATTTTAGAAAAATAAGGGCCTTTCTATTGCCTTGGTAGGGATAGAAGGTCCTGCAGGGAATAAGAGAGGGACCTCCAGGAGCCACTCACCCACACGCTCTGCTTTTAGGGAGTCCCAGATGTTGCAGTTAAAGTCATCATATCCGGCGAGTACGAGGCGCCCGCTGCGGGAGAAGGCGACTGACGTGATTCCACAGATGATGCTCTCATGAGAGTATACTATGAGCTCCTGGTCTGCCCGGAGGTCAAAGAGACGGCAGGTGGCATCATCTGAGCCGGTGCAGATGGCTTCACCATTAGGGAAGAACTGAAGAGGGCACACACCAGATTTTAATCAGACTGTGCCTTATGCATTTCCTTGATATCTTTCTCCTCCCGGCTAACCACCAGAAAGCCATGGAGCTAGGAAAACCTAATGGGACAAAACACTGGATCTTAAAAGTTGAATCTGCTGGAGAGGGAGAGTTGTAATTCTAAGACCAAGTTGACTCTTTCCACCTCCAGAAAGCCAGTGACCTAGGGGCTAGAGCTATTGCAAGGTGCCCTAGCGCGTGGGAAAGGATTGTAGTCTCTTCTACCTCAGCTGTTTTGAGGTTTGATGTCCACCAGTTACCCCCAGATGGGGTCTAGCAAGATTCAGAGCTATGAGAGCCTTCCACTCACTGGGCTGTCTGAACCTCATGCCTAAAGCTTCTCATAAGCTGGATCTTTCGTGTGCCCTCCCTGTCTTTCCCCCCACTCCCTGAGGAAAAAAGACTTCTTCAGGACCAGGTGTAGCAGAAAACCATGAGGCTGGCAGGATAGCCATGGGGCAGGTGAGAAGTCAGTGAAGGCTGGTACGGACATTACAGGAAACTGGCAGACTCATTTAGTTAGTAGAAGGGAATTAAACTGACACTTCTCTTGTCCTGTCACCTCTGGGGCTCTGATTTGAATCCTTGCTTCTGAGGGGGATACTAGTCCCCAAATCTCCGTGCTGTCTCCTATGAAGATTTCTTCTTTAGAAGATCTCCCTATGATCCCAAGTTACCATTTCTACAATCTGAAGCTGACTGAGACCCTCACCTACATTAGGTGTTCCTGCTGCCTCACTTGCGTCTTGCTTCAGGGTTCCTACAGCATGCCTGAACTGTGGTTCCCAACAGCTGCTATGAGCAAAGCTGCATCAGAACTTATATTAGTGGGCTGAATGCCTCTGACCCCAGTGTGCTGGCTGAGTTCAAATGGTGTTTTGAGAGTGGCAGTCAGGCCCAGGCACTTAGGTGTCCCAGTGCCTTGGAAGAATTAGCCTCAGAACTTAGTGACTGGCTCAAATTCACAGATATTTGAGAACTGAACTCAAATCTTCCTTACTTTAGGCTGCACCATGGAGCCAGGGTCTCCTGAGATCTTGTTTCTCTACGTATAACAGTGACAGCATCTTTCAATCTGTGTCTTAAGGCTTTCTCCCTATTTCAGTGCCAATCCTACCTCCATTTTCTTTGTCATCACAATCATGCAGACAGCATACATACGCAGATGGCGTTGATATCGGATTCATGCCCTGAGAAGGTCTGACGACAGGTGCCCTCCCGTACGTCCCACAGTTTGGCAGTAGCATCACAGGCCCCAGAGATGAACAATTTGAAGTCTGGGGAGACAGCCAAGCTCATACAGTCTCCGGTGTGACCCAGGAACACTGTCTTCTGCTGCCCTGTCTCAATGTCCCAGAGTGCACTGTGGGAGGGGAGAGAAGTTTTCAGAGCCAGCCAAGGCAGATCAGCTCTATGGCTGGGTTTAAGAGTTGCCCCACTTACAAACAAAAGGAGAGGAAGCCATGAGCGTGACTACAGAATGGGAAAAAGGTGGGAATATCACTGGAGTTAGTTATATACACCAAGAAACATCTTCATAGCTGTTGCTATTTATAACTTAACTGCAGTAGAATTAGACTATGACTTGGGTGGGGTGGCTGTGATTTGGCGATGTTAACGGCGACAGTCAAAGGGAGTAGTGAGAGGACGTGAGAGGGACCCACACTTGAACAGCCAAAAAAGGACTGCTGTACCCACACTGTTGGACTCATGGGCTGTTTTCCCTGGGATCCCACACTATCTGCAGGCAAATAAGCCCCATGTAGCCTTGATCTCTGATGAAAATGCCACATCCTAGCTTGTCCTGGTCAAGAGTTTCTGCCAAGGTAGTTGTTGGGGGAGAGGGACAGATAAAGATTCAGACTTGCTCAGAGTCACAGCGCAGGGTTACTGGAGAGCCAGGAACCAAGGATTCATGCACAGGCTTTATAGATGACCTTTGCATAGTGGGTAAAGTTTGGGAAATGAAGCTTGTATGTAGGCTCTACATAACTTTATGATGTTTTCTGTGCCAGAATAAATGATCACAGAATCACAGAATGGTTGAGGTTGGAAGGGACCTTTAAAGATCATCTGGTCCAACCTTCCTGCTCAAGCAGGGTCACCTAGAGCTCATTGCCTAGGATTGTGTCCCAGATGGCTTCAGCATGTCTCCAGAGAAGGAGACGCCACAACCTCTCTGGGCAACCTGGTCCAGTGCTCTGTCACCCTCACAGGAAAGTTTTTCCTCATGTTCAGACGGAACTTCCTGTCTTTCAGTTTGTGCCCGTTGCCTCTTGTCCTGTCACTGGGCAGCACTGAGAAGAGTCTGGCCTCATCCTCTCGACACCCTCCCTTCAGATACTTGTACTCATTGATCAGATCCCCCCTCAGTCTTCTCTTCTCCAGGTTGAACAGTCCCAGCTCTCTCAGCCTTTCTTCAGAGGAGAGATGCTCCAGTCCCCTCAGCATCTTTGTAGCCCTCTGCTGGACTCTCTCCAGGAGCTCCATGTCTCTCTTGTACTGACTGGGGAGCCCAGAACTGGACACAGTACTCCAGGCGTGGCCTCCCCAGGGCTGAGTAGAGGAGTTTAGTAGCATCTGCAAACTTGCTGAGGGTGTACTCTGTCCCTTCCTCCAGGTCACTGATGAATAAGTTAAACAAGACTGGACCCAGGACTGACCCCTGGGGGACACCACTAGCTGCAGGCCTCCAACTAGACTGCGCCGCTGACCACAACCCTCTGAGCTCTGCCATTCAGCCAGTTCTCAGTCCACCTCACTGTCCACTCATCTAACCCACACCTCCTGAGCTTACCTATGAGGATGTGATGGGAGATGTGTCAAAAGCACTGCTGAAGCCAAGGTAGGCAACATCCACTGCTCTTCCCTCATCTACCCAGCCAGTCATTCCATCCTAGAAAGCTATCAGATTGGTCAAGCATGATTTCCCTTTGGTGAATCTGTGCTGACTCCTCCTGATCACCTTCTTATCCTCCATATGCTTAGTGATGACCTCCAGAATGAGCTGTTGCATCACCTTTCCAGGGATGGAGGTGAGGCTGACAGGCCTGTAGTTTCCTGGACAATGATACTGTGCTTTATGAGAGCTGGCTGGCTAGTTTGTCCATGCTGCTTCATCTTGACTTGGCTTCAACTGGGAAAAGAAGCATCTGTTCTGCCAAGGGAGGAACTAGGAATTTGTCTTCCTAAGGTACTTAAGTACCTAAGGTGCTCTGTGTAGCCTCTCTATGTAGAAAAAAATTTATCCTTAGATAGTGGAAAGGTGAGTAACTGCAGGGCAAAAGAACACTTGCTGGTGTGAGCTGTGGCTCTAAGAGCCCCCAGAGAGGAGGGATTGCAGTGTCTGCTCCTGTGATCATGTAACTCCTAGAGGTGGAGTCTTCCAAAGTGCTGAAAGCTGGAGATCTGTGTGAGTTTTCAGTGCCTGTGACCACTTGTATTGTGAAGATACAGAAGCTGACACTCACCATGTGGTGTCTCCAGAGCTAGTCACAATATTGTTATCATCCAGAAATCGGCAGCAGGAGAGATAACCTGGGAAGTGGGAACAAGCCAGTATGAGAAACGGGACAGGCCGAGAAGAGGGAAGCTTGGAAGCAGAGAGCACCTAGGCTGTAAGTAGGCAGCACACACACCTGTATGGGCTGAGAGCTCTCTGCTCACTTTGACGTTGCCTTCACGAGTCTTGAGGTTGTAGATGGAGCACATGTTGTCAAGGCCCCCACAGGCCACAAAATTGCCTGAGGGGGCATAGGCACAGGTCATGACCCAAGAGGAACGTAAAGGGATGGCATGAACCTGGGAGGACAAGAAAACGGGTCTGCACTCTGGGAACAGAGATGAGAGAGAACAAGGACGCTTGCTCTGAGGGCATTCACTCCAGCATCCCCATTTGCTGCATCCGTCTGGCTCTTACCTTGTTGGTTGTGTATGTGTCCCACACAATCAGTTTCCCATCTTGTGAAGCACTGACCAGGAGTCTGTGAGAAAGTAACAAGATCATGTTAGTAGCTCTCTTCCCATCAGAGCCCTCTTGCCCTGCATAACTGTGTGCTGCCTTGCACCCCCCTCAGCACCCCAGCAGATCAGCAGCATCTCTCTCACTTGGAGTCTGTGGACCAGTGCATGGCATAGATCTTGGCCAGATGCCCACGCAGGGTCCTTCGGGTCCGCATCTGAATGCGACCAACCACTTCCACTCCAGACACAATCTGGGGAACGAGTGGGAGGAGCGAAAGAAA